GTTTTGTATTGAACGCTTTTTGAACTTAACAGTAGGGGTTTCTTAAGGTCTTTGTTACTCTAATTCAATGAATTACCTTGACAGAGACCCCTCTGTTCCCATCAGGTGTGAAAACCGGCTGGGAATCTGTTTTAAAGTTGCATTATAGGTTTTTGAAAGTGGAAATCTGAGGCCTCCTCCTCTGGTAAGAGACGGCTTTTCTCTTTTTACATAAATTGCTTCCTTCACCTCCCTCTCAAACCATCTGTGTTCTCAATCCAAAATGTGCAAATTTTGGTCCTCAAAAGAGTGTCCCTTATCTGTGAGGTGGAGGTGAACAGCTGAGTCTTGTCCTGTGGAGGTGTCTCCTGTGTTGAGTCATGCGTCTGTGAAGAGGCTGTTTAGTTTCCCTAATGTAGAGGTCTAGACAGTCCTCGCTGCACTGGACCGCATACACTACACCACTCTGTTTGTGTATGGGTGTCTTGTCCTTAGGGTGGACCGGCCTTTGTCTGAGAGTCCTGCCTCTCAGTGAGGCTGCAGCCTCAGACACCCCGTCTACCCTGTCTGTTGTTTGTGTTTCTTCTGATGGGCTGTACTGAAATGTAACTTCATTGTGCTTCAGTGCAATGACAATAAAGCTGATTCTGAATAGATAATGAAATAAAATTGAACTGATGGAATAGGTCAATTCATACTAGAAATAAGATTGTTTGCTAACTTTGAAACTGTGAACGTTTGTGTATTAATTCTTGTGTGTTTTAAGGTATTTTGTGATGTCATTTTCTAAGGCAAATGTAAAATGTTGTTGAGGTGATTCATTGGAATTTTTCTGTTTTGATTTTGTTTTTATCGTAGGTATTTTATTACATCTTTTTGTATGTTTGTAAAAGCTTAATTTAACTGCAATGTTTGTGGTGTGGACCCCAGGAAGAATAGTCTCTACTATGTTAGAAACTAATGGGGATCCTTAAATAAACAAATTAAAAATGTAAAAAATCAGATAATATTCAACTTACTTTCCCCCTTTTCAGCTTTAGCTAATTAGTCATTCAGCACTCACGTAGCATTTTTGTAAAAAAAATACATGCGCATATACTGCTTTACTTTAAATTCTAAATAATTTTGTAAAGTTAGGCTGATTGGTAACACTAAATTGTACCTTGGTGTGAGTGAGAGAGTGACTGGTTGTTTGTCTCATTTGTCTTTGTGTCTCTGAGATACCTATGGGCACCAGTGACCCCTGTGACCCAAACATCAAGAAGTGGGTAAACATGATGGATGGATGGTCTAAGTAGTTGTAGAGCAGATTAATAATGCTTTACCAGTTTTTGCAGGCACTAAGGATGATCTCTCCTGGATTTGCAAACTGCCATTCATAACCACCAGGCCACACCCACGACATATTATTATTACCTGCACAGGGAGACACCAGATTTGAAGTTTGTTAAATGCCATTAAATCGTCTTTTTTTTTAAGACAACACACTTTACTGAAGATCCCTTTAGTTTTCACATGATCAGAAACTATGTCAAACCAGTTATGGAGTTGTTATGGTATTTGCAGCGACACTCTTCCATAGCCACACAGACTCCATCCTGCAGCACCATGTCACCAGGACAACCACAGGTCCAACTACATTCAGGGGATTCCAAGCATTCCATGTCTTCTGAGAGATCTGAGCAGGAGCGTGCACAAGGCTTCCCACACGTCCACTTTTCCTGGCCACCACCGCAGTCTGTAAGAAAATGTATTCATTTCAAAGTTTCCTCAGGTTTATTTCAACACCTTTAAAAATTTAGGTTCAAGCTTGAATCACTATAAATATAAAATCATGTGATGTGCTAACTTGAGCAGACAGTAATGTTGTCATGGCAACCACGGCTCTGCTGACTTTCTCCTAGACAGGGAAGGCCACCGAATCTGGCAGGAGGGCTATTACACTCCCTGAAACGAGTGGATGACCCAGCACACCCATCACACTCTGACCATGCAGACCAGGAACTCCATGAACCATGAACTATTGGGAGGATAAAGAAAGAGTAAAACAAAAGCAGCAGAGACAAACCCATATTGTGTACAACTCAGTGCAAAGAAGAACCTTAAAAAAAGAACAGATGTTTGTCAATGTATTTACCAAATATAAATAAATACAAATAACTTGACAAAATGCTTATAACCCTCTGCCTTTCACAACAAACTTTAAACAAAATGTTGCACAATCTGTATACAGAACATGTGTTAGGGGCAATATTCGGCTACTTCCACACCAAATTATAGGTCAGTAACTATAAAAAATTACATTTAATCTTTTATGAGTTTGCTAAGATCTGTAATCTGCAGTGAACTGGATTAACTACAAGTTAATCAGTTTTAAACGTGCATCCATTGATTACTTTGAGATTTTTCCTTAAAATTGCAAACAGAAAAGCAAACGAGCGCACATCATGCACATCCTCATACAAGATGCATTTGAAAGAACTCCAATAGATGTTGATATTAAGGCTTAAAACTTGATCAGTAAACCAACGCAACAAGCGGAATGACCATCAGTCTAGTTCTGGGTTCCTCCTTTCCTGAACTTTGCTGGAGTCCTGTTTGAGTTCCTTCTCTGCTTTCAAGTAGACCCATTTCAGATATCCATATTGCTCCAGGGCCTGTCTTGTGTGGGATTTCTCCTTCTGCCTGGATCCTGAGTTAGTGAAGATGATGTCTGCTCTGTGGTACAGAGTCCTGATTACTCTTGACTTGTACTCCTGGGGGTGATGGGAGTCAAACCACAAATACTGGTCTGTGTGGGTGGGTCTGCAGTAAACATCAGTGTCCAAATGTCCTCTATCGGAGACTGAGACCTCACAGTCCAAAAAAGTCAATATGCCATCTTTTGCATCTTATCTTGTGAACTGTATATATTTATCCACAGAGTTGATGTGATCAGTGAAATGTTGGACTTCCTGAGATTTAATTTTAATCCAGGTGTCATCATCATACCTGAATCAATGACTCAGTGGTGTTCGCCCTCTTTCTGAAGGGCTTCATCAATTGGAGAAGTCACAAACTGTTTTTCCCACCAAGCAGTACACTCCTAAAGTGGACTAACCAGTTTGCTGGTGATAAGATGGTTTCTGGGGGCTGTTTAAATTCAATTCAAATTCAAATTCAAAAATACTTTATTAATCCCAGAGGGAAATTATTTGTTGTTGAAACTCATTATCCTCATTTCGTTAAGAGATGTTATAGATACTGATGCTGTAGACTGGAAGGATATCATGTAAATGTCCATCCCACAGTGGATCCTAAGAAACTGGCCGCAGATGCCGTCCGATCTGTCCACCCAGACTCGGCAGGCCTCTCAGTTCCCCCGGGCTGTAGGACCGCCTGAATGCCAAGCAGAACTCCTCCCAGCATGGTGGCCACTCCTCCCAGCAGTCTGCCAAACTCTTTGCTGCGGACACCCAACTGTAGGTGCCGAGGGACGATCCTGTCCTTCCACTGTCGTGAGCCGTGTTTCCTGCTAGTTCCAGGATCTCAGTGGTCAGGCACTTGAGCACAGCTGGCAGGTAGATGAGCATGTGTCCACAGAACATCCTTTTCAACTCATTTGGGATTTGAGGCTGTAGTTGAGATATTATTTGAGCTTTTGAGATGTTATTCAGCTGCAGTTGGTTGTAGAAAACTGCCTCGTTGCCATGGTTACGCATCATAACAAATGTCCAAAACTAAAAAAGTTTCAGTAAAAATCCTTCCAGCTGCACAGCATCCGATACCAGAGGAAACAATCATCCAAAAAATGTGATTTACATCCAGAAAAGGAGGAATTAAAGTTTCCAAAAGCAAAATCTCAGAATGAAAGTAGCAGAGCTGCTCCAACATGAAGCCACCTTGAGCGGCGCAATTCTAGAACTAGAAGTTCTCGCCCCCGTTTATGTGTGGATGGTTAAATGAGGGCACAGATGATTATAAAACCATTTAAGTATCCTAGTTGGAAAGAAGTATGCTATATAAGTGCAGTCCATTCACTTTTGATCGATGAAGAAGAGAAAGTGCCACCTTAATGGAGAACTTGGCTAGCAAATTAACTTGTTTTCTGGAATATGTGACTTGTCCAGTCCCAGCCATGCTCAATGCTTAAAACAATAGGTCCTATCCACATCTTGGTCCCTGTTTAAGTTTCTGATGCTACCACAACCCCTGATATGGTATATGCTGACAATGTTGTCTTTTCACTGAGTCCAAGAGGGTCCCAGATGTTACTGCTTCCACTTATATCTCAGAGGGCATTTGGCTACAGAAAATAATGATCCTCACTCCTTAGTCTATGAAGGGTCTTGCTAGATGTTGCCATGTCTTTTCACAGGAGTGCCAACACACCTCACTCTTCAGTCTCTGAAGGAATTTTGTAAGATGTCTTTCTCCTTAAGGTGATGTCTCTCTCCTCACATCTGTATTGTTTCTGAGTCTGACATTTATGAATTCATCGTCAGCTGCCCTGATTTTGAGGGCTTCCATGAGGATGCCTCTCCCATGCCAGAACCAAATCAGGAGTAAAAGGGGTCCCACCAGGTACCACGTCTCTGTTACACCAAGGTCAAAATACAAACAATTCTTGTTGGACCCTGCTTTGTCTCATCTTATAAGGTGGGTCACCTCTCAAATTGCCTCTGCTGACTGTCTCAGTTTGCTTCTGTTACTTTGTTTAACATTGGCACAGTTTTTAATTGTAACTTTGCATATCTTTGGAGTTGTTTTGTCTATCTGTCGGTTAGACAGTAACTTTATGGAGTTATTTAGATCCTTGATAGGTAAGCTCTTACTTGGGCAAAAGCTTATGACAGGGCAGGGGTGTCTCTGTAGCTGAACTCCAATCCCACTGTGCACTTCATGTTCTTCAGAGCAGGGTTCTCCACCAGCTTTTGGCTCTGGACAGCTACAGCTTCTGTAACGAGACACCGACTCTGCCCCACAAGCTCTGGTACAGGGAGTCCACTCCGACCACTCACACCACCCACCAGACACTAGAATAGCAAATATTATTAAAAAAAAGTACATTATTTTAATTGTATTGTTAAAAAATATAAACACACACATACACACACACACACAGACAATTTCACATGACTTTTCTTACCTGGGCAAAGCTTTCTGGTGCAGTTAAGTCTGCCACCATCACATGTGCTGCAACATCAACATACAGAATAAATGGATGCATACAATGAGATAAATATATTTGTTCAGCCTTGTCCTTTGTTGGTGCAATAATATGATGTACATGAATGTATTGCATGAGCTCTTTCTGTGATTTTTATTCTGACCAGTTGTTGCATCCATCAGGGGTCTCAGAAATCTCTCCTGGTTCTAGTCGGTGTCCAGAGTTAAGGTCCAAGCAAGGACAATCTTCTCTTGCTACACAGACTGTCCCATTGGCTGACAGGACTTTTCCATCTGTACAGTAACACCCTGGCTCACAATGCCACTCACAGTGCTGAGAAACAATAATAAAAACATCAAAGTTCAGAAACATAAAATGTGGATGTAAGTGAACACTAAAAACCTGTGGTGCTGTGATTGAACAAGAAATCTTATCCTTTATACTCACTGAAAGGTCATCACAAGATCGAGGACAAGAGGGCCCACAACTACTGAACACTGTCCCTGGGACCTGGGAACAAGGTAACACTAAAACACATACAGACATGTCTGTTTTCATATTGTATCACTGACAAGAAATCTATATTACAAGCTTAAGCTACTGTAACAAAACACAGTTTGAACTCATCAAAGTACCTGGACAGTGGTCAGTGTTACAAGCTATGACTTCAGTTCCCAGACCCTCACAGTAGTTTCCCTCCCCCTCTGGAGTGGGGTTGTCACAGTGTCTCCTTCTACTTTGTACCCCAACTCCACATGACTTAGTGCATTCGGTCCATTTATTCCACAGACTCCAAGCCCCATGTCCTGAAAACAAACAAACAAAACAAAAAACAACAACACCAACATCATAATAGGATAGTAAAATAAAAGCAAGAAACTGAATTAAGATTAAAGTTAATAGAACATCTTTATGTTGTGAAAACATATTTACATCCTTGCACATTTCTTTTGTTTTTAATTTTTTGTCACAGTTGCATGTCATATTATCAAAACCATGCTTAATATCACAAAAATATGACTTGGGTGCAAACAAAAGGCAGTTTTAATGAAGATTTTAAATATTAAGGGAAATCACTAGCTAAACCAAATCAGGGCCTATGTGAAAAATAACCTGCCCTCTAAGCCCAACAACTGGTTGTGCCAACCACTGTAATTAAGCATTAGTAACTGGAAATGACTCTTTCACATGGCTGTAGTAGATTTGTACCATTACACAGTTGTGGAATTTTGTGGAGACTTGCAGCTCTGGTTTGAATTGTTTTCCTGCTTCAGAACCCAATTTTCAGCTTAAGGTCACAAACTGATGGCTGCACATTCTTCTCCAGGACTCCCTGTAATGAGCTGAATTTGTGGACTCATATTTTACACCAGGATGTCCAGATCAGAACGACCCAGATAATCACACTACCCATGTGATAATACTACATCGACATCATATTTGATTGTTATTTTTCTGAAGTGCAGCGTTCGTTTTAAACCATGACAGAAAAGTTCAAGGTGGAGGTGGGGCTGCATCAAGGATCAGCCCCAGCCCCTTATTGTTTACTCTGGTGATGGACAGAATAACAGGTGAGGTCAGGCAGGAATCCCCGTGGACTATGATGTTTGCAGATGACATTGTGATCTGCAGTGACAACAGGGAAGAGGTGGAAGAAAACTTAGAGAGGTAGAAGTACATGTCGGATAAAATAAATATTCTTTCATCATCTCTTTGTTCAAATAAGCCACTCTGAGGACACAAGAAGATTTTTAAACCAGTCTTTACTTGCAAGGATAGATCACCAGGAAGCTTTTACAGATGTACAAAATGTCTTTAGCCTTATGTTATGTGCCTGGGGCACAGTGGTCTTATTGTTTTGTCCTTTTGGACAAATTTTGGGTTGGCTAATCAGCCTTTAATTGTTTTGGGCTGTGGTCTTTTCCGCCCGCCCATAAATAGGCTGGTTTCAGGGAGCTCCTGCTCTCAGGCTCACTTGTTTGTGAACTCTCTCATACTCCCACATTTTTGGACTCTCAGATGCTCTCTCCCTTTTGGGCCTCTTTTATTTGGACCTCTTTTATTTTTTTTTGGCCGCCCTGGTTTTCCCGGGGCCCTTGATTTTTTTCTTTGTCCTGGAGCTGTGGCCTGCTGTTGCCGCCTTCAGCCACTTCAGGTTATTTTTGTTAATTTTTTGTATATTTTTTGTAAATTTGGCCTGGTGGGACCGGTTGTCCAGTTTTCACCCTTTTCTTTTGCAATAGGTGTTCTTGAAGGTTTTTTTCTAGTTTTAGTCTGGTACCAGCAGCGGCTTAGATGGCCCTGTATAGGGTTGGCCCGCAGCGGTACCTTTTTGTTCTGTTCGACCAGGTCACCAGGTCCATCTTTAAGTTGATACTTTGCGATTTTGTGTCTTTTTTTTTTTTTTTTTTACAGGAAGCAGGCGCTTCAATAAATTGAATGTTTAGAACCCTCACATTTGTGTCTCGAGTCCTCCTTTAATATGGTATGTTCATGGTGGACGTAACACCTTGTCAGTGAGAATCTGCGCTGGACAGAGGCAGGGAAAGCTTTAATACGTTATCAGATGGAGGAGCGGTCAAGACGACCTCGGCTTTCCAGCTTACAGACAAGGAGGCTTTGAAGTTTATCAGAGAGGCAGGCTCTGTGCTCTTCAGAGAGGAGCCTGCAGGTTGCTCCCCCACGCAGACAAAGCAATTCTCTAACACCAAACATTAGTTTATAAACATCCATAACCTTTACCTAAATTCCCTTGACAGTATGCACTTGGTCTGTTGTAATAAGACAGAGCACATGTGTGTAAATGAGAGGGAGGCAGGTGGAACAGTGAGGCTACAAGGAATAGATGTCACAAAGATGCAGGACTTTAGGTATTTAGGGTTGACTGTTTGGGGAAATGGGGAGTGTCATAAAGAAATAAAGAAGACAGACAAAAAGACAGGAAAAAACTGGAAGTGGCAGATTATGCCGACATTCTCCTAGGGAGTGACAAGTTGGGCCCCCTTAATGCACAAGCTTACATAAGCTGAAGCGAAGGGGCCTACAATGTTGGGGGGGCATATCTATTTGAGGTCATATGATCAGCTGAAAAACGTTGTTTTGTAACTTGTCAGGTTTTCTGTCCATAACTTTAGATGCATGTTGGTGGCAGCTGATTGATCCAAATTAAATGTGAGCCATGTGAGCTCACTGGTCAATGGGCCAGGAGCTGACCAATTAGAATGTGTATTGCTAGATTTGGGCACGTCCCTCTAATGATTGACTGACAGCTGTCCACATATCGGGGGGGAAGAAGTTCAAGAGCAGTGTTCAGATATAAAGGATGTATTTGTCAGAATACGTTTGAAAAATATTCTGTAGTTACTGGAGAGCATAGCGACGCTGGCATAATATTTGTGAAACAGCTGTCAGAGAAGATAACCTGCAGAAGGATGTTCACTGACTCCTCCACTACCTATGAGAGAGGAGGTTGAGGTACAACCTGCGCTGGTGGATGCTACGTTTGTGGGAGGGGAGCAAACAGAGGAGCGGAGGTGAAGGGAGGAACAGGAGGAGAAGCTAGAGGACCATGCAAGGAGCAACTACAAGTCTAATGACCCTTGTAACAGTGACCTGGGGCGCTGGGGTAAAAATAACCTATAGGTGCAAAAACGGGACAGGTGTGCCAAAAATGTGATCAGCCACTGCAAGAGGGTGCAAAGCCTATTTGAGTGTCTGTTTCAGTTTGATTTGCTGTGTCTGTTTCTTAAGTTGCAGCACGGTCGCTCAGTTGGTAGAGCTGCTGCCTCTCAGTGAGCAGGTCCCTGGTTCAAATCCCGGTCCGGGGGCCTTTCTGAGTGGAGTTTGCATTCATTCAACCTTTATTTAGACAGGTAAATCCCATTGAGCCTCGAGGACTCATTTACAAGAGAGACCTGATTTCAACAAAGAATGATGACAACAATGGACAACAGCAACAACAATAAACAGTTATAAAAAGTCATACTCCAGGTTTTTTTTTTTTTTTTAATAAATAGGATGGTTAAAAAAAAGGTAACCAAAAAAAAACAGCTTGATTCTAAGGTGAATGTAGAAAACTAAAAACAGGAACATGTCTGCATTGGTCCCTGCCAGGAGTCCAACAGATTCTTAAAGCCACTTAGAGAGGTCAAGGTCGAGAGCTTCAAATCTTTTTGTAAGATATTCCAGGAAACAGGAGCGGAGTAGGAGAAGGCCCTCTTGCCTAGTTCAATCCTCACTGAGGGAACACTGCAGGTAATAATGTCCTGAGAGCGCACGCTGTAGCTGCACTCATGCAGAGACATGTAGGAGGAGATGTATGAAGGCAGCAGACCAAGAAGTGATTTAAAGATGAAAATGTACCAGTGAGAGAGTCTGCGTGAAGTTAATGATGTCTAGTTGATGATAGTGAATACAGGGTGCAATGGTGGGTACGGTAGTTACAGCCAGTTATGAATCTTAGTGCACCATGATAGACAGCATCCAACATCTGCAGGGTTCTTGTAGGAGCGTTCATGTAAATAATGTCACCGTAATCAATGGAGGGAAGGAAAGTCACAGATACAAGGTGTTTCCTAGCATTCAGGGTTAGACAGGATCTGTTTCTGAAAAAGAAATCCAGTTTAACTTTCAGTTTCTTTACCAAGTTTTCCACATGAATCTTAAAAGAGAGATGTGAGTTGACCAAGATACCCAAATATTTATAGGAATCAACAAACTCAATCGGGACACCACTTGAGGATAAAATCGGAGGAAGAACTGCTGGGACCAACTTCCTATTTGAAACAAGTATCCCTTTGGTTTTGTCGGCATTTAGGACAAGTTTGAGGTGGAACAAATCTGTCTGGATGATGTTGAATGCAGATTTCAAAAGCTGGAAAGCCTTTTCAACTGTTTTAGCTCGACAATAAACAACTGTGTCATCAGCATAGAAATGCATGGATGCATTAGGGATGTTTTTACCTACAAATGCATGTTCTCTCCGTGCATGCATGAGTTTTCTCTGGGTACTCCGGTTTCCTCTCACAGACCAAAATTATGCATGTTAGACTGATTGGTAATTTTAAATTGTCTCTAGGTGTGAGTGAGAGAGCAAATGGTTGTTAGTCTCTATGTGTCCCTGTGATGGACTTGCGACCTGTCCAGGGTGTACCCCGCCCCTTGCACAGTGATTTCTGGACATGGGTACCAGTGACCCCAGTGACCCAAAATGGAATAAGCGGGTAAAGATAATGGATGGATGGATGGAGGTTTGTGTGTATGACTAAGGACTATAGCAAAGGTGTGCCTCCATTTAGCTTGAGATATTTTTCTCCATAACCCTCATGGTGTTCTCTCTCTGTAGGTGGCAGTTTGAAGTTTTTTGTTATTTATCATAAATATCTGCAAACTTGAATCCTACACAACGTTATAGCATTAAAACAGGGTTTTGGTGATTTGGATGAGCTAAACTTGTAAACTTTGCAACCAGATTGTATGAATGTTACAAGTAATACATTTAATGATCAAATACAGAATGTAGTATGTATTACAGTTTTCACATTGATTCTGTTTTTCTTATGTGTAAGTATGACACGTTCTCTCAATAAGGTATGAGATATGATAGAGTGATCAGATACCACACCCAGGAAATGTTCTTTGGATCAATTACATAAAATAAATTTCATCCAGAAGGTATAAAGTTTATTGGTGTTCATCTGTTAGACAAAGACGAGTGGCTATAAAGTAAAACTGAAAAGGGTAGAATGATTTACGGTAGCATTCTTTGTGGCAGTGGAGATGAGAATGTTTGAAAAGGAGATAAAATGGGTTTTATTCAGGGGATTTATTGATCTCACATGTTTGGCCATAATCAGGTCTGGATGTGGCTAGTGAAAATGCCGACAGCTTTCCAAAGAAATGTGGTTATTCACGTGTAATTTATGATTTATCTAGAGAAAAAGTTACTTTTTCATGTAGGGACGTTTCTTTGAATAGCTTTTTTCCCCTTTATTATATCAAATCATTAGTCATGAATGGAGTTTTTATACCCATTCGAGTTATCTTTGTCTGATATTAACATTTGTTCGATTTAAAACATTGAAAAGTGGAAAAAAGAAGAAATATGTAAGAGTGCAAAATCTTTATACAGCACTGAATAAGTTCATTTCATCACACTTGAAAGTGGTACTTTCAGTTCAATCAAGCAGGCCAAACTTGAGATGTTACTTTGTGCACTCTTGGGTTAAGTGACAAAATTTTCAAGTCTCAAAGACTCAAACTAGAACGAATTAAGAAAGACAAAAACCACAGAAGTTGTCGTCAAAGATTGTAGAAGCTATCAAAATGTAAACTCACGATCACACGGTGTAGTGATGCAGACTTGGTCATCACGGTGAGGACCAAGACATGGAAGACCACTGCCAGATCGCTGAGGACTGGAACAGAAGTGGTAGCGAGACCTGAGTCCAGTGCCACATGACACCGAGCACTGACTCCATGGAGTCCACGTGGACCACTGTCCATCCACTATAGAAGAGTCAATGTTCATATGGAAGACATATTCAGGGTGGGACATGAGGAGGACAGAAGACTAGTTTACTGTAAGTTCATAGCAAATTCAGCCTGACCTGCAGAGTTGATTTGGATTGAAAAATATTTTTATGCAATGCAAAAATATAACGAGTTTCAGATGTTACAAAAAAGAAGAAAAAGCACCAGAAAACACTAAAAATGGCATTAAAGAATCATTTGAAAATGCAACCTACCATTGCAAATAACTTGAGAACAGTTTACCAGCCTCCCCCCGTCACATGTACTGAAAAGTTACCAACACAGTAAATTAGATTTACCATCCATTGTTTACTGACAAACAGAAGCACAAACAAGCTTTTTATGTGGCTCAAATAGCAACTAAGTTTAGCTTTACCAGTTGTTGCAGCTCCTCAAAACAATGTCTCCAGGTTTGAATTGCTGTCCATCAACATCACAACGACAGTCAGACTCAAGCACACATCCTCCATCCTGAAAATACAAAGCATAATGAACAATATGCTCAAGATTCCCTACATGTTTGGATACGAGTGTATTTCTGCCACATTCACCTGCAGGACAGTCCCATGAAGGCACTGGCAGCCTGGTGTACAATTCCTGCTAATGTCCGATGTAAAGTCTGTACAAAACACTGCCCCCTTCAAGCACTGCTTCCACTGCTGACCTGGAGGACACATCCTGCCCTCTCCTGACACACCAACATAGTCCAAGCAAAAACATGAATAAAGAATGTTTAAAATTAAATTTAAAAAAAGCTGCCATGAAAGATATATTTAACTAGTAGCTAAAAAAAACACATGAAAACAGGAGAATGAACACAAAGAAAACTACAAAAACAGATTTCTACATGTTAACTGCTTGACTCTCCCTTAAATTATTTGCTCTAATAGTATTTTTTTTTATATATTGTTATATTGTGATAAAGGTGCCTGATTTGTGTTTGTTTTCTTGTGCTGGTGATGGGAGTGGGCCTGCTTAGGAACAGATAATCTTAGAAAGTCTCCTAACAGGACTTTTACTGTCCACAGTGAACCTGAATGCAGATTGTTTGTTTCCATGAACACATCTGGCAGTTCAATAGAAGCCTACAACCCAAGAATAAAAGAGAATCTTCTTGTGTTTGACAGCAGATATAACGCTGTTCCTTAGAAACGTTCAGTTTTTAAAAAGAGCTGACGTAACTTACCTAAAGAGTCAGCAAATACAGCTATCCAATCAGTGTTTGCCCTCTAGAAACGCCTATTCTCCAGAAACGCTCACTTTGGGTCTGCAGAAAATCCCTTCTCCATCATTTTGGGGATACCTTTATCTGCTTCTGATTTAATGAGCAAAACTGTACTACTTTTACGTTAAACTGTACAAACAAACTTATTTACTCCACTTATCTCACTGTGACCATCTGTATAAATTGTACATACAAAGCTGTATATTTTATCTATACCATTGCATAACCAGTAGAAACACTGCATACAGTTAACTGCAAACATCCCCTACATCCATATATTTATAACTCCCGCTGCTATTTCAAAACTGTAGACACTTTTCTCCTATGTATCCCATTTTCATGTTTCTCTGTTTTAACAGTACTCTATTACTTTACTCCTATATGATGACAAGGAGAGATGCCACGTGCAATTTCACAGTACATGGTATGATGACATTAAAAGTTTTTTTTCTTCTGCAAATGAAGACACACACACCAGAATACTTTGTGTGAGAATAATCTAGAAAAGTAAACATTGTTAAAAACAATGATAGCTATAAAATTAAATGTTAGGTGTAATCCAGTGGTACCACAAGGCTGCAGGCTACAGGCGCTGAACTGTTGAGCTGTGCCATGGATTCTGATGGGCCCACGTGTTCGGGTCCTGTAACCTCCTCCACATGTCACTGAACACTCCGACCACATACTCCATGGTTCTTTGATACCTTCAGCCAAAACACAGGTGTATTGTTTTCCCATTTTAAAACAAAACTTGTAAATAAAAGTAGCTACATTGACATATACTGCACCACCTGGTGGTGGATGGGTTAAATGCAGAGACTAATTTCGCCATTGTATGGAAACATACAGTGCTGACATTGTGATGACATTATTATTATTATTATTATATACAACTCACCAAGGCAGGGTTCAATGCTGCAGGTATCAATCCCAACTCTCTCTCCTTTACAGGGCCGGCCACCAAAAGCCAAAGGTGGATTGGTTCCTGAACGATACCTTCTTCTTACACCAACATCACAAGTTTGACTACAAGCACTCCATTGTGTCCAGCTGCTCCAGCCACAGTCCACTACAGAATAAAAGGACATACACTCAGCTTAAAAACAATAAAGTATAAAAAGGAAGTATAGAACAAAAAGACAGAAAACAGAAAGTTTCATGGTGAGTCATTTACCTGGACAGGGAACTGTTCCACACTTCATTTTTCCATTAGTGCAGGTACTGTTTGAGACACAGTGAAAGAACGGGTGATGACAAATTTTAGAAATGAACTGCATTTCTGTGGTAACAATAGTTTTGTATACAATTTAAAGTTTAGTTTAAACTGAATGATACATTAAAGGTGAGTACCAGTTGTTGCATGTGTCAAAAGGCAGGGCAGTACCAGCTGGTTGCATCTTCCCATAATGGTAACATGGGCACTGTGCCAAAGGCACACAGCTGCCATTAAACAGGTAGAGGTCTGGGGAACAGTAGCAACCATCATAACAGGCGGTGACACACTGAACCTCTGTGAAGGTCATGTCCAAGCACACTCGTGGACATGCACCACCCTGAGCCACACACTCAGCTGCTGTCATGTACACCATGCCCACTGGGCACACACCTAAGGGAGCAATAGGAAAAACAAGAAAAACATGGAATTATGTTAGATGACTAAAACAATGGAATTACTTTTTATACTGTATCTTAACAGTCCCCTGTGAAACTCTGTATTCAAGCCAAGTCAACAGTCAACAAGTAAATAGTTGAAGGGCTTGAATATCCACGTTTAGTGCTAGTAAATCTACAATTCCTGAAAGTAATAACATAAATAATACCAACTGAATTTTGTTTTCAACTTTAATGTATAATTTTCCTATGAAAATGAATGATCCTAAAACATGTTTAAAAAATTGTGATCCTATGCGGACAGGCACTTTTGAAATAGAAGTGTCATTACCATATAGTACAGAGTTATGACAACAAACACCAGAGTGACAGCCTGTGGTTGTTCATTACATACATTTAATTGTTTTGTTAGCGAAAAAAACTACTAATCTAACAGGAACATACCAAATTAGTATGCAGCTGCTTTTTTAAGTACAACAGCAAAGGATGGAGCAGTGAGGACCTCTACTTTCCCCAATAATCTAGATCAGCTCCACCTTACTGACTGATAAAAACTACACAATCTGCAGGCGAGAGCAGACTTCCTGCTGTATCTCGGTAGCTTCCTGCCACTGACTAAAGCCTCCAGCATACTTGGGCGTATGTCAGTCCACGAAGGTCCAGGCGTACCGGATTAGAGTTGAAGCAGACACCTGCAGGGCATGTCCGTGCAAAGCTCAATTTTTACGACCACGTACGCGTACTCTGTGTCACACAATAAACTGCCCGATGACGGACTGGTTTGTACGAGACACCAATGTATTAAATTTCTCTTCTTCATCCCTGATCTGGTTTAATGGCCTTTTCTTTTGTTTGTTTGCCAAAAGGCAAGTGATCTCTTCCTCCTCCATTGACGCCATGACTGAAATCAGAATAAACTTTATTGGCATTGCACCGAGATACAACGCGAACGTGTACGTACAGTCATCCGAAAGATGGGCGGAGTGCACAAAGCTGCAACTATAGAAAGCATGGCCTTTTTTTATTCTTTATTCAGAATAACATTTTTGCTTAGATGAGAAAAGGGAAGAAAACATGAGGAGAGACGGTATAAAAAAAAA